AGAGGTAAGCATGCTGCAGATTTACCTGTATGGCCTTTTGCCATTAAAGAATGAAAATTTGGCAATAAAAAAAAAAGATGGGGAGTATTGCACGCTGGATCTAATTAAGCACCTGCAAACTCTTCTGCTTCCTGCTTCCTTTGCCCACGACCTCCAAATGGCTTGCAGTATCCAAAACTGGGGTCAAATGAAAGAAACTGTCTCCAATCAAAGGACAGTTTTGAAATATTTCCAGTGGAATTTAAGGCAGTCTGCTCACCAGCCTGTTTTGTTGAATGAGCTGAAAGGATGGGAAATGCCTGATTGGTCCCAGATTGCCTGTTTGCAAGGCAGATAATGGCTTCAGTGGGGATAGGGAAATTCAGCCAAAAGAGCTACATTTTCTTCCAACTCTGCAGATGAGTTTTTCTCTCCTTTTTTCCTGCTCTCCTCTCTGCTCAACCACTCCCCCCCCACCCCACTCCCAGTTTTACCAAGCATGGTACCCATACATCATTTTATGATTGGAAGTAGCCCAATTGTTGATTTTTTGATGTGATAGCCAAATTAACCTTCTTCTGTAAGCAAGCGAGAGGCCCTTAAATGGTTATCCATTTGAATTGCAAAGAAAGTGTATTTCGAAGACCATAGAAAATGACAGCTCCATGGGGCATTTATAATAATCTTTGTTTGAGCAAGCCCAGAAGGTTTGATCCTTACCAACCAGGTAACCACACATCTGGGTCCCAGATGAGGTTTTTTTTATATAGATGTGCTTAAAATCATAAAACCTCTTTCTCCCCATATTTGCAAGTTGTATATTATTAGCTGAACAGCTGCAAAGAAGGTACAGTTTCTGCATCTTTAGTAGAGATACAGCTGTACCTTTGATGAACCTTCTAAAGGAAATGAAGAAATGGCTCTCCCATTCTACTGCTTGTAATAGCTTTCCCTGACAGGAGTTGTCCTGCTAAGAATAGAATCTCTTCTCCTTGGAAGGAAAAAAAAAAAAAGCAAATGACTCAGACTATCTTGAGCATTAAGATTTCTGGACAGTCAATTCATCTATTTTGCAGAATTTTATAGGGGGCCCAGATGCCGTTCCTTTTACTTATAAACCTTCTTACGCACACCTTATTACCAAGGTAGGAAACCTGGGAGGTTTGGAAAAGCCCTCCCTTGGAAGCTTTTGGGTTAAAATCCTGAAAACATGTGTGTTGCAACAGATTTACAGTATATAGGTTAATTTAACCTTGAGTCTGTAGGAGGCCATCAAGTTGTAATTTGTGAGCAAGACAGAAACTTTTTTTTCTCTTTGTTTTTCCTGTTTCTTTATGAGTTTTCAAACACATGGTGTTGTTTGCATAAGTGAGTTTGTATTTTTTGCATTTTGTATTTCTTCTGTGATGCAAAGGTAGATCCAGATGCTTACTAAATGGGCCTCATCTGCTTCTGTTTATATTCATGAAGGGGAAATGGAATGTGAGAGGCTGCAGCATAAACGAATGGCTTAAGTTCAGAGAAAAAAATCTGCTTTCTTCCAAGACAAGCTAATAATCCATATAATTCAATCTTAGTGACTCACTATCCTCACTTGGGAGAAAACACTTTAATTGAAAGGAACTGATCTGTTGCTATCTGTTGCATGCAGAGGAAACAATCAATTAATGCAAACTGCATTTGCAAAAAAAAATGCCAATTCATTCCCAGGTAGCTCTGTTATCTTTTCATTCTTTTGTTCATGGAAATGCTCTTAAGACATAATACTATTAATTTAGATGATTTAAACCGAGTTTTTTGGAACCAGGGTTTTTTTTTGGGGGGGGGGAATCTCAAATCTGATGTCATGGCATTTCATAAACTGTTGCTAAAAGTTTTGGAAATGTTAAGCAAAGCAGAGCAGTAATCTGGTGTCTGTTGTAGCTCATAAACAGGAACCATCCACTTCTAAAGTCAGCCATTGTAGGTGTGGCAGGTTAGAAGGTCAAAGAGGCTGTGGCACAGCCTTACCATAAAGCTCCTGCCAGTACCAGCCCAGAAACATTGTTAATTAAACATAGGGCAGAGTGTTGCCAGCCCAACAACTTGATAGTTGTTGGTTTAAATTATGGTTTAACATTCTTCCATCGATATAACAAGAGTTGGAAGGGACCTTGGAGATCTTCTAGTCCAGTGGTTCTCAACTTGTGGGTCGGGACCCCATTTGGGGTCGAACGACCATTTCACGGGGGTTGCCAAACAATGCAGTCCACCATTTTTTCCCCTTTTCCTTAGCTGTGCTACTCCCTTTTATTCTATTGGCTTTTGAAAGCCAATAGAATAGACTCTCTTGAATAGAGTCTAATTCTATTGGCTTTCAAAAGCCAATAGGAATTGTCCAGGCTGTCTTTGCCCTGCTGAGCCCGCCAAAAGTCCCATTCTGCAAACAGTGCTGCACCAGTTGAGTAGTTCTTGACTTACGACCGGTTGAGTAGTCCTCGACTTATGACCGGTTGGGGATCGTGGCATTAAAAAGGTTGAGAACCACTGTTCTAGTCCAATCCTCTGTTCAAGCAGGAAATCCTATACCATTTCAGTCAACAGTGAAATGGAAAGTAGCTCCCCCCCATCCATTGCAAGAAGCCATCCTGAACTCATGATTGCCTCCTCTCCCCCCCCCCCCAGTCCTACTTCTCACTGCTCCAGAATTTGTTGTCTAACTTAGATAACTCACTTGGGCAGAGGGGAAGAAAACATGGACCAATACATAACAAAACCTGAACCTTGGGGGTTTTCCTTCAGTGCAAATGCTAAGGCAAGAACACATAGAGGAGACAGTCAAGATACTAAAATTGAATGATCTCCTCCTCAAAGTAGTACTCTTAATGTAGCCCCTAAACTCCTTATAGATCAGCCAGATACACCAAACAAATTGCTGTTCCCAACCTAAGGAGGGCCCTAACCTTGGCATGGTTTAACATTCTTCCATCAATGGTTTTGGAGACAACTCATTTAAATCCAGACTCTGCCCGTGTGATGAAAAAGTCAAGTGAAATTATTATTTACTGTATGGTCCATTTTATACTGATAAAATATATCTGGGAATTGTTAACCCCACACCTAATTAAATATGTTTGTCTCTCAGATCAGTTTTCAAATGACTCCATTTCCTCAAGCGTAGCCGAATTTTGTCATATAGTATGTAAGAAGTGCCACAGTTTGATCGATCTATTGAATCCGTATGCATGTAAGATGTTTTATGGACTGGTCATTGTCTGCAATAAAGATTTTACTTCAAATAAAATTGTGATTCTAGTGTCACTGAGTGTGCAAGGTATAATTTTACATTTTGAAGTGTTTGGGTTTTAAGGATTAAAATGGAACTTTTCATTTGCAACTACTGGGTAGGTTTGCAGCAATACTTAAGAGGATATAGTAAAATGGTGCAGCTCAGAGAATTGCAACTTGAAATGGTATAGCTCAGACAGAAAGGTTTTTTCATCAGGGCTAATGACTAGACTGTGAAAGAACTGCTGGAAAAAAAGCCTGGATACAAATCATTCTAGTAGCAGGCAGTTGTGATCCAGCATCCAAAATATGGATTATAGGTCATGTCTATGGAGATTTTCATTCATCCAGGTCATAAGGTGCTTTTTCACAAGAACTGGACTTTCTTGTTTTTCTTCAAAGATGTTTTGCTTCTCATCCAAGAAGCTTCTTCAGCTCTGACTGGATGGTGGGGAATGGAAGTATTTATACTCCTTACAGACAGCTGATCATTTGCATTCTTTAGAGAGTCATTGAGGTCACCTGGAGGTTTATTTCTCTAAAACGGGTGTCAAACTCACAACGTCATGTGACATGTTGCAACGCATTGTGAATTTTTTTCCATTGCCGGTAATGGGGTGGGTCCAGTTGTGGCATGACGCATCTGGCCTGCGGGCCAGAAGTTTGACATCTCTGCTCTAAAAGAATGCAAATGACCAGCTGTCTGCAAGGAGTATAAATCCTTCCATTCCCCATCATCCACACAGAGTTGAAGAAGCTTTTTGGATGAGAAGCGAAACATCTTCAAAGAAAAACAAGGAAGTCCAGTTGACTTGTGAAAAAGCATCTTTGGAATTGTGGGTCATGCCAAACTAGACTGGACCCTGAAAGTATGCCATCAGGTTCAAGAGAACCCTGGATACAATTATTCTGCTGGACTTCTGTCTTCCACTGATGGATTCTGGTGAGTTTACCAGACAACCGTTCACTAGTTAGGTCTATGCAGCTAAATGTTTCCACATTTCTAAATGATGCTAGGAGGAGATCATCTCCAGAAAAAAAATGAACAAACTTGTGCTTTCCATTTATGTATGTTGATATTACATATTAGACATAACTATAAGATAGAGAGATATACAGTACTTTTCACTGTACTGGGCAAAATTGTGACCAGGAGCCTGCTGCTGTCCAAATGGAAATGGTTGCTGACCAAATTTAAGGCTCAACTTTTCACTCTTTTGGTCTTCGTTTTTAAGTAAGAATTAATTGTGTAGGGATGCTTTAAAATTGAGATGATAGAGAGATTAGATTAGATTAGATTAGATTAGATTAGATTAGATTAGATTAGATTAGATTAGAAAATAATGATAATAAAACAGGATTTAGGGCCATGACAAAATTGCAGAAAATTTTGGGGATCCAAAGTAGGGACAATTAATGGAGCTCCAGAATTTTGACCAATATTCTAATACCAAGTTCTCATTCTCATTCCAGATATTTCTTTTATCTTTGTTTCCCCTAGATTTTATACATAAATTCCAGCTGTTTTGGGGAGCTGTGGCTTCTTAGAGTGAAAGACATCAAGAAAAGTTATGACTCCCTATTAATAAACACTTAAATGCCAAGCATTGTGCTTGATATTGTATTGATCATTAAAATGGCTGCATTTACAATAGATAGGCAAGGCCAGGTTAGGAAAGAGAGGTGGAGATTAACACAGATGGCACTCAAAGGGAAGAAGAGGTGAAAACTAATGTATGTCTCCCATTTGCCAGGGTCTTGTGCTGGAAGGGAATCTAAGATGAATTTATGGGATGTGGTGACTGTCTGCGTGGTGCTACTCAACTCGATCTCGACCTTTCCGCTTCCCGCTGGTAAGAGACCTCCTGAAAAGGCCCGCACAATGCTAGGAAGAGCTGAAGAAGACCACACTACCAGCAGGCTGCTGAATCCCTACGCTGGCCAAATGGATTGTAAGCACACATTCCACTTTCTTGTTATTTTTACCGCTGCTTACTGGCCTTCGCCTTTTTTTTCCTTTTCATATTGAGATGATCCAGTCAGCTCTGCCCACCAACAGAGACTCAGATGGGGATGGGCAGACGAGGGCTAAGGAAGAAACAGTCAAGGGATTGCCATTGTTGCCCCATAGCAGATGATAAACTAGGGCTAAAGGCATTCCTGCAAATCAGTATGATGCTAGAGGCTGTTGCTTTGCTCTTCAACAGACCAGCTTCCTATATCTTTTTTTTAACAAAAAATACCTAGTCTTTTCCAAGTTGGGTTGGTCAGGAAGCTTGGATCGAAGTTGTTGAACAGAAGCCACATTTCGGAAATTGTTTCCTTGAGGTTTGCTTCAGATCAAGAGCCTTACAATTTAGAGTTTTAGTCTTGTTTATTCAAGACCTACTGAATTCAGCTGGGCCAATTCCCACTTGCATTGTGTTGCATCCTTGGAATGAAAGTCAGACTTTCTTGAAATTAAAGTTCAAGTAATCTTGGGGTTTTCATGATGAAATGAAATATTTTCACTGGCAATATAATGCTGATTGTCTTGGAATGTAGTGCAGGCTTCTATTCACTATCCCTTCACATGTATGTGGAAGTATGGATAGGGTAGGAACAGGATTGTACTGCAGTACAGGAAAGGCCATGGTCTATAATATTCGTGCAGTGATGATGTATAATTCCTTGATGCTTTCAGGATCTCTGATTGCTCCAAGGCCTTTCTTCACATGAAGGGAATAGTATTGGTATAATGGCTTGCTCATAAGTCCCTTCCATGTAATCCTTCCAACAGATAGTAGGGACTTGAATGTGCCAACATTGGAACAAGAAACAGTCCTGCTTTCTTTCTCCTCCCCCCCCCCCATATTCGCTGAATAGATGAGACCTGTCCTTGTTTCTGTTTCTTGGAGTGCTATATTGCATGAGAGTTTAATATTTATGTGGCAGCAATCTGTCTTTTTCCCCAAAAAACGTTGAAAGAATAATGCCTCTCTGGTGAAGCGTATAGATCAGTGTTTCTCAACCTTAGCAAATTTTAAATGTGTGAACTTCAGCTCCTAGAATTGTTGCTGGCTGGGGAATTCTGAGACTGGAAGTCTACCCATCATAAAATTGCCACAGTTGTGAAAGACTTGTAGATAGTTATGCCTTGCAATGGCTTTGCCTCACTCTGTTGTGACAGAAAGAGGATCAATGAACAGCTTCTTATGCGCAAATGAGATATACCCTTGAGTTGTAGCCACCCCTTAGGCTCCTAGGGTGGGTTTTATTGTGCTTGTGCAAATTATACAGTAATCTTCCACTGTTACTTTCTGGTGACATAGGGATTCTCAGTCATTTTTGCCTCTTCAGCATCTTTCCAACAGATGCAAAACCACATCTGCATTCTTCCACTTTTCTGCCTTCTCTGTTCCTCCTTCTCTGTCTTTCCACTGGAATCTTCCCCGGGTTTCCCTCTTCACTTTTTTTTGGAAGGAAGCCACAGGAATGATGCAAGTTAGCCAAAATGTTTAGACTTTTGTCATTCTTTCTTCCTTCTACCACACTAACTACTATAATTCCTCAATTGTTGACTGTTTGACTCAGTTGTTGACTCTTTTCTGTACGATGAAGGCATTCATATCCAAATAGATGTTCTAGAAAGTCTCTGGTTTCTCTGTCTTTAGAACCCCTCTTTAGTTGCTTTAGGGAAATATGGTAGTAGGAAGAATAGAATAGAATAGAATAGAATAGAATAGAATAGAATAGAATAGAATAGAATAGAATAGAATAGAATAGAATAGAATAGAATAGAATCTGAAAGGGACCTTGGAGTTCTTCTAGTCCAACTCTCTGCTCAAGCAGGAGAACCTATACACAAATAAAAAATTCTGACAATAAATGCCAGAAGTAAACTGTTATTGTCCAGTCAACTATAATCATTGCTGTTTAGTTATGACATGTAAAGTGGTTTAAATCATAATTAATTTATTCATACATCAACCTAATGTTGTGAAAGCTGGGCTAAGAAATAACTCTTTGCAAAGAGGCACATCAGTAACCAAAAATAATTTTAGTAAAAAATTATATCTAGATTAACATTGGTGTTTCTTTATAGTTAAATTTGGGAATGAGTTAAAATTAATTTAGTATCTTCTGAAACTTCAAGTTTCCGTTGATCACATTATTGCTGCTTTACAAGTTGAATAAACTTTAAAAATGTGATATAACATAGTCACTGATATTTTTTTGTTTAGTCAACAACAACCAGTTATATTTGCTCTCTTTCTCCACAATAATCATTAAATATGTGAGATATGTAAATATGTAAGATATGCTCGGTCAATATACATTACTGAGCAAGAATCAAGCTTAATGAAACAGTAGTATGGCATAACTAGCAGCTCCCACTAAGCCTCTCCAAAGACTAGGGGAGACAGAACCAATGTGGTGTAATGGTTAGAATGCACTATTGCAAGCTAACTCTGCCAACTGCCAGCAGTTTGATCCTGACCGGATCAAGATTGACGTGGCTTTCCATCCTTCCAAGGTCAGTAAAATGAGGACCCAGATTGTGAGGACAACACGCTGACTCTGTAAACTGTTTAGAGAGGGCTGTAAAGCACTGTGAAGCAGTATATAAGTCTAAGTACTATTGCTATTTTGATCCATCCTCCCAATTACTATTTCATAAAATGGAATAACTATTATTTAATGTTATATGAGCTTTGAGGCAGGTTTTGATTCAAAATATGTATAGTTTGGATTGGGGTTGCTGTTTCAATGGATTGTTCATGTGCACAATGATACTGTTGGCCCTGTACGCAAAATTATGCTTCTGAACCTCTCAATCTTCCTGTTATAGAGATACTATGTATGAAAATGTCTAGGATCTTTCAGAACAATTAAGAATATAAGGCCTTCTATCTTTCTTTCCCTGCACAGGTAGAACTTGATCCGTTTACAATGAAACTGTAAAATTTCAGTTGTTACTTAATTAAAAAAAATATTGAGCATGCTTATGTAAAAATCGGCACATCTGCATATCATTTATTGATTAGCATAATTCTGAGTGCATAATGCAGTGGCATTACAAAATTGGACTTGGCTAGTTTCAGAAGTGTGGGAACAATCCAGAGAAAAGAAATATTTTTGGGAATATTAAAAAGGCAGAAAATATTTCCCCAAAGAAATAATGGAGAAGATCTTTAAAAAGGCAGAAACTTCTACACACACACACACACACACACACACACACACAGAGCCAGACAACTCAGCAGAAACCAGCCTTTAGAAATGCAGATGTAGTAATCCATTCAAGAAGGTTGGAGTCTTCCAGCTAGAAACTGAAGAAACATAATAGGAAGACAAAGACACTTAAAATCTACATACCCCACCCAAACTCTAAGACAGGACATAATAGGATTAACCCACCACCATCAGAATACCAGAAAGGCATACTCAGACTCAGGTCAAAGTTCATGACACAGGAACAACTCCCAACAAAAGCCCAAGAAGGTATAAAAACCTACTCCCTACTACATGTGCTCTCTCTTTTCTTCCAGAGCCATCTTTCTGGCTCTGGCTCTCCTCTTCAATAAAGTACAACCTTCTTTCTAAAGCAGTTGCCATGTTGTTTATTCCTGGCTTGGACTGGATCCTGATGAAGATTTTTCCTTCTACAGAAGTATACACAACTAGGAGTAAATATTTATTGCCCTGAAATATTTTTAATTCTCATTACATTCAACAAGTAGAAATAATGTGGCACATGGGGTTTTAGTGGCCTGGCCTGGTGGCTGTTCTGCTGGCATGAACCAGCTATTGGAGTGAGTAAAAGGAGAAAAGGCAAATCAGTTTTGGCCTTGAAGAGAAGCTGCACTTATTACAAGGCATGAAGAGCTGCTCTAGCTTGCCAGGGCTTTTGTCGGGAGATTTTGGAGACAGCAGTCCCATTGTTCTAGTCTGCTACATAGCTGGGGGGTGTCATCCACCTCCACTAGGGCAGTGGTTCTCAACCTTTCTAATGCCGTGACCCCATAATACAGTTCCCCATGTTGTGGTGACCCCCAAGTGGGTGTGGCCACCAATAAGAGGGAGTAGGACAGCTAGGAAAAAGGGAAAAAAATGGCGGACAGCGTGGTTTGGCGACCCCCGTGAAATGGTCATTTGACCCCAAATGGGGTCCCGACCCACAGGTTGAGAACCACTGCACTAGGGGGTCATGCTACTGGTCTGACTAAAAATAGAAGAGGGAAGGAGGAGAAGGAGAGAAAAACTTTGTACATAAAATGAACAGAGTGGCTGGAGAAGAAAGTTGAAGAGAGAAATCAAGTGTGTGGACCACACATTTAATTTCCTGGTTGGGAAAGGAGAAGTAAGGTCCAGGGATGGTTTACCTGGAAAAAAGAGGTATGAAGACCTCGAGGGATGAGAGCTCCACAGAAGACCAATCAGGGAAGGAGATGATCAGCTGTTCATGGCAAAGCTCTGGTCTCTGGGGAAGGATTGGGCAGATGACCCCGAGAAAGATTCTTCCCCCAATGGAGAAGCAGCAGACATTCAGCTGAGCAGAAGATTAAGCCATGTTTTTGTAAAAGCCTGAAAAAGGGGAAGGAATTGAGAGAAAAAGAGAGGAAGCAAGAGAGACACAGGTGAATAGTCTCTGGGAGACTTAGGAGGATCCAGTATTGTGTTATATACCTTTCCTAAATACATGCTGTAAATAACATCACTATATAGCAAAATGCATATTTTTCTGTGTCAACTGCCACCCTTGTAAAACAATACTCCTCTAGTTCAAAAAAGGAACCCTGTCACACTGTGACAGATTGGCAGCAAATGTGGCAGCATTCTTTTAGTTTTTTATCTTTATCTTTACTGGCACCAAGCAAACCACTGATGAAACTAACACAGCCAGCTTTAGATATAACCATACATAAGGGAGAAAATCCAGAAGGAAGTAGACAGTATCTTCTGTAGGAGAAACCCTGTGTTACATCATATTTGCACAGCAACCCTGCACAGTTGTGGCAAATCAGCTGTTCAATAGAAAAAGGCAGGTCAAAATCAGTTTTTCTACTTTCCCAAATAGTCGATTGGTATAGTTGCTGATTCTCTGACATCCTACTAGCTGGAATGATAGAAGAAACTGCCTGCATTGCACCTACAGGCCAATAATTCCTCATCCAATTAGAGAGATATATATATTTGCCTCTGTATAGCAAAAGGCTAGACTAGACAAAGCAAAACTTTTTTATTTCCACAATGAGATGTTGCTTATGATTAGAGTTGATTTGTCACTTTCAGTATGCTATACAGTCTTTAGTTAGAAGCCAGGTCAACCCCAACCAAATACAAGTCAGGGAAGATGACCCTTTATAAGACAAATAAAGGAAGTGAATCAGTTGCCCTTCCTTTTATAGTCTCATCTTCCCAAACATCAGATTTTCCCAGATTTTCCCAGGTCGTCTTGATGCTTCAAGGTAAATAGATGGGGCAAGGGTTCATCAGATTCATTGAGCTAAGTGTGCTGTACTGTTCTACTTTGCCTTTTGTTTTTGTTAGCCATTCATTCACCTATGATTATTAAACTAATTTTGTGATGGGGTGGAGCCACGAAACCCCTGCTATTCTTGTAGTTTGGGTGAACTGTAAATAGCTCTGAAAAGGAAGAAGAGAGCTTTTTTTGACATTAGAAATCTTTTGCAAAAATGAAACATCTAGAATGCTAATATGGTAAATTTCTAGATTACGTTCAATCTCTGTAACCAAAATGCCTTAAGTTCCCATTAGCCTCTTCTAAGAAAATTGCATCTTAAACGAACATCAGAAACCCCCAAACGTCTCATAACTGAGGGGGCATACATTTGATGTATAGAAGAATCATATGTATTCTGTATTGATTTGTAGATGCCTTTAAATTTATTGAAACCAGGAAAACAGAATATAATAGTAGTTTATTTTCATTCATTCATTTATTTATTATTTTATTTTATTTATATCACTGTTATTTATATCACTGTTCACACAAGATGCTAAAATAATGCCTGGTTTCTCATAACAGACTGAAACACAAATAACACAAACTCATTTAACCTTGTGTACTATGTTGTGTGAATCCAGCCACAATAAATATATTATTATTTAATTTCAGTGATTCTTTCTAAGTACATGTGGCTTTATTTTAACCAATGTGCAGTAGTAGGCTTCTCATAAAATGAGTTTTAGACCAAAAAACAGTTTGGCAAATCTAAACCCAAAGTTTCTAGTTCTTCCCACTTCTAGTTACCATCAGTTTACAAGCTAGTGCAAAACTATATATCAGCATGTTGACTATACATGAAGGTTTAAAGAAAGGTTTCTCCTCTTGAGTCCTGGCATGAGATCTTGTAGGTGGTCTCACACAGAAAGAATTATAACAGGAGAAGAATATCAAAGAATAAATAGGCTGTGCTGCCTATTTTTTCAGTGCATCAGAAATTGGATGCAACCTTTCATCTTTTTGAAAAAGAAACACAGTACTAGTTTATATTGTAGGAAGGATTGCTTGTCAGCTGTCTTTTCTAGTTTAGTAAGCCAACAAGGACCGTTTGAGTCATTCAACATTTATTTTTCCTTAGCATTGTTAATACATCATCCATAGTTGGTGAACATGTTTCCATTTCATCCAAAGCCTTTGCATTTTGCAATAAAGTCCATTCTTAATCTGGATGCAAACAACAGTCCAAACAAGTTGTTGGTATTCCATCTATGGAGGGTGTTTTGTTTCATTTTGGTTTTTTTAAAAAAAAGGCTGGATACCTACCTTTCATGGATGATTTAATTGGTTTTCCTACACATTGCAGGAGGTTTGATTAGATGAGCCTTGTAGTCCCTTCCAATTCTACAATATTCTGGTTCTAACTTGAGATATCACTTGTATTATTTAAATCCCATTGAGCATCTGAGAGGTCAGTTTGGATTCCTTCTCAGTAACTGCAAAGCAGGCTGGAATACTTGTGATATCTTAGCTTTTATACTCTTAGCCCTAGTACAGGCAGGCTAAAACTACTTTGATATGGGATATACTAATAGAACCTTGCAAATCTAATTGTGAAGTATTTCCTCTCCCTTCTTATATCCATGAGAATTAGGAAGGAGTCTATCTGACCCTCCTCTACATACTTTCTGCTTGGTTAGGACTTAAGCTACCTTTTTCTCTTCCTTGTTTTGACAACAGATCTGGCTTATTTCTATCAAGGTCAAGTTTCTTACTTACTTTCTTTTCCTCATCCTTCAAATAATTCAGTTATTAGGAAGTTGTCTGCTTGCTTCCATACTTTCTGCATATACTAGGGTTATCTTCATTATTGTTTATTATGACTACCAGAATTCCTAATTACTGCATTCAGTCTTTGAATGGTACCAATTTTGCTGGGATTGGATAAGAATATTTCTTGAGGGGATGATATCTATGATGCAATTCTCCAGGGCAAGTGTCACTCAAAGGAGAAGATGCATTCAGCTGTTTCAGCCAACACATAGATAGATTGAAAGTGGCTTGAATCCAAGCAGATGTTTTCCAGTAGATCAGGAGTGGTAATCCTGTGAACCATGGGCTAGATGTGGCTTGAAGACCTGTTTTACAGGTCCCATATTTTCCACAGGACTAGTTGTGTTCAAACTTTAAAAGTGATTTGTTATATTTTGAGGCTTAATGTACCTTTTGTGTAATGCATCCTCAATAAATTTGAAGGCCAACATTTCAATCCAGTTCACTGTGTCATTGCCACGCTCCTGTGGATGACCAAATAAAAATGTTCTTCTCCCCCAACTGTAATTCTTGCCCATTTTTACATTAAAAATTGGGTAACAAAGCTCAGACAGTTATGGAAATGGAATGGAACTATGAATAGACAACCTATAGAATGTCATGGACAAGGAATAGACCAATTTTCTGTAAACTGAACCCTCCAAATGTATCAGATTACCACTTTCATAATTCCCAGTGGTTATCCTGGATAGGAATTACAGTTGTACTCCAATGCATTGGGAATATCATGTTAAGGAAGTTTTCTGTCTGTTCAAAAGTGACTAGGTGCTGTGAGAATACTCACAGTCTAATATTTCACTTAATCTAGTTTTCCATAGAAACCCTTAGTCAACCAATGGATATGTATTAAATAGGTTAGCTTGTCTTATGGACTTCTTTAAACATCAAAAGTAATGTTGGAATTTTCACAATCGCCTTATACAACGTTTGTAGCTAAAGAAGAATGCAGCAATGGGTTTTCTAGTCTTGATAAAAATGTGTTAATCCTTTTGAATTTTGAATACAGGCCTATAGAACATAAACTTTGTCAAGCTGGCATGTCATGGGATAATTTGGGTCCAGTTGAGCAGAGTTTCCTTTTGGTTGTTTATATAATGGTACTGGTCATTATTTTATATTCCATATGTCATATTTATGTAATGTACAATATCTGTTTTAACACTATGGTTCTTGTTTGGTTTATGACTTGTGTTTTGTTAGTGTATATCACTCAGAGTCCCAGTGTTGAGTTGGGTGGTCTTATAAATTCAGTAATGAATAAAATTTTAAAAATTGAATTTTGCATCCTTTAACATATGCAGTCGTCATTCTCAGATTTAACTATGTGTCTGCTAGAAATTTCAGTAACTAAGATTATTTTCTCCATGTGAAATAATATGCAATCATTTGACAAATTGTTTTGGTCCTTTTCCAAACAGCTAATATGCCTGTGGATTATCCCAGCCAACTTGAGGATGTGATGGATTTTATTCAAACCACTTTAAAAAGACTGAAGAGGTCACCAGATAAACCACGTTTCTCCAAACGGGAAAGAAATCGGCAAAATGCAGGAAGGAACAATAATTCCAGCAACAAGAAAGGACGGAGAGGTCAAAGGCTCAAATCTCGGGATTGTGTCTTAAGTGAGATTCACTTAAATGTGACTGACTTGGGTTTGGGATACACTACCAAAGAAGAATTGATTTTCCGTTATTGTAGTGGTTCGTGCGAGTCTGCTGTAACCCTGTATGACCAAATTTTAAACAATTTAACCCAAAATAAAAAGTTGGTCAGTGACAAAATCAGGCCACAGCCTTGTTGCAGACCCATTGCTTATGATGATGACCTTTCATTTTTGGACGATGACCTATCGACTTATCACATACTGAGGAAACATTCCGCTAAAAAATGTGGGTGCGTTTGATGTCCTTGTGTGTTTGGACACTGCTATGATATTGCATTCCTGCTAAAATGGGCAAAGAAGGGGACCAAGGCTCCCAAGGAAAGAAAAGATTGCCTTCAAATGAAGGAAGAGGACCAAGTATACAGGAGAACAACACCTGTGGGAGCCTGGTTGATGGAAATCCAGCACGGGATAATTGGTGAAGATACAACATGTTGGAGCTTTTTGTTTCTACAGGAAGGCAAATAGACATCAATGCTCAGGGGCTGAGATCCACAATGAATGGGAATTACTTACACCATTGGTTTTGAGATGATCCACCATTGGCAAAACTTGGCCAAACAGGTGCTTATCAACACAAGCTCCCTTCCTTCTTCTTTTTTTTTTTTTTTTTTTGTCCTCCAAAATAGAAGTTGATCTAATTATCACAGGCCTTATTCCCAATCTGAAGGCATAATCTGTCTTTCATATTAATAAGAATGTGTTTTATGATCAGCCGCAGGGGCTTCTGGGGGGGAGGCGGAGTCAACAATGTCAGATTGGCAAGCATGATCAGATGACTGAGGTTCCAACCCTTTTTAAATTTGTGTGATGCATGTTAAAAAGGATCAATGCTTTGATTACCCAGCCATATTCATGACTTTGCTCTTGTTGATCTCTTTCCTCTTAGACACCCTTGATCTAAACCTTCCCTAACCTTGTATCCTCTAGTTATGTGGACTGGGTTTCCAGAATTCTTCATAATGGCTATGCTGGCTGAAGCATTCTGGAAACTCGGATCCCAGGTTGAGGAAAGCCACTGTGAACAATCCTGAGGAATTTATCAGGATATTTGAGATGGAAGAGTGGAATATATAGAAATGTTATAATGAATAAAACACACATGATGATAGGAGGAAATTATCATAGCAGAACTCTCTGTTCATATAAATTGCTGGCTAAATTTGTCCAGCTTGAGAACTGATAGTTCCCAACAATTCACTCAGCACTTTTTTGATACTTGTTTATGGAAGCCTACAATTGTAGACCTTTATCTTCCATTGCTAATAATCTCATTAAGAAATCCGTCAAAAAAATCTAAACTTGAAATCCTGCCCTTCATTTACAGACCACTTAGCCAAATTGCACATCAGAACATCCCTCTTTTCTGTGATGTAAAGATAATAACAAGCTTCTTTCCCTGTGCCTTATGAATAATACAAAATTATTCTACCCATAGCAATTGGTCAGAAAGGAGACTCACAACAGAGTCCTCCAGTTACAAAGCTTCAAGTGGAGTTACATATAAATTGAAAGCAATGCCATATTTTTATATACAGGTAGTCCTCAATTTATAATCATTCACTCGCCGACCATTTGAAGTTATTAGCACTGAAAAAGAAGATTTACAAATGGTCCTCACACTTATGACCATTGAAGCATTCTGAGGTCATGCGATCACCATCTGTGATCACCTTCCCAGCTGGCTTCCAACAAGCAAAGTCATGGGTGAAGCCGGATTCACTTAACAGCTGTGTGATTCACTTAATAACTGGAGTGATTTGCTTAACAACCATGACAGAAAAGGTCGTAAAATCGAGTGTGGCTCACTTAACAATCATCTTGCTTAGCAACAGAAATTCTGGTCTCAGTTGTAGGCTTAAATCAAGGACTACCTGTATTGAGAAGAAGTCAAGCTCAACTTTTAGTTATATTGCTAAATTCTAAAGAAACAATTATTAAAAGGATGGAGGATTTCTAAAAGCTAACTAATTTAGAATGTAACTGAAAAAGAATTAATGTTAGAGGGAGAGAGATGTTACCCTTTCTGTTTCCCAACATAGCAGGCTGTGTTTTTAATCACCTGTCTAGCAAAATGCCATTTTAAAAATGTGGATCTTTTATTGGTTTACAGAAGGACTAAGGTCACTTACTTAATGAACTACATTTTTATTTGCGGTCATCGTGAGTGAAGAGAAAGACTACTTGGTGCAATGCATCCTGTTAAAGTCAAATCTAGAGAAAATATTTATTGAGATTTAAGTTATTATTATTATTTATTACAGTTCAGACATGAGTTTCAGTTTCATTATTTATTAACGCTTCTTTCTTCAAAAGAAGTGCCAAAGTTACAATGAGGTAGTAATGCTGGGATCAAGGTATATGGTTTTTCTTTTTAAAAAAAGTATTAAGAATTAATATCAGGAATGAAATCTGTTGTTTTTTTAAAAAAAAAAAATCACTTACTTTACCATTTGAACAAAAATCATGGAAGCTCAGTTGGATAGTACTTCATCATACTCGTTGCAATATATTTTATCATTGATCTTCTTTAACTAGTTGAAAATCTGAAGGTTCCCTAACTTCTGACAATGCTGTTTGTTATCTGGGGGGGGGAAGGGGGCAAGTACTATTAAAAAAAAAAGAAAATATCACAAACAAGAATATTCTAATAGCTGAATTTCCTGTCAGAGATTAATGAGTTTAACTTTGAGGTGTCTCTTCCTTGGCCTCATTCAGTATAGGAAAGTGATTGCAGGCTATCAAAGATGAGCTATTTGAAATAATTTAGTGATAGCTTTCAAACAGCTGAGCTATATTCATTTCAAAGACTATTATCTTCAGTAAGAGGCAGTTCGGTCAACTGATGCAGACTGTTGTATGCAGTAGATGAACATCTGCATCCATGCATGCATATATATTTAAGATGATGTTCTTTTAAATCATCTGAAGTGCATTTCAGTGCAAATCTGCATATAAATTGTTGGATATCCAAGCTTGTATCATTTGGCATGACCCCTAAAATAACAACTATAAAAGTATCTATTTGAAAGTGATTTAGAGGTGAGGCAAACCCATTGCAGCAAAGACTTAGTCACTGGTCACTTAGACGAGAAAGTTAAGTATTTATTTAATGCTGTCTCAGTGAAGTGAACAATATTTGATAGTGCCCAGTTTGCCTGGCGACTCTTAATTTTCTACATTATTTCTACTTCAGATCAGTGGTGGGATTCAGCCAGTTCGCACCACTTCGGCAGAACTGGTAGCTAATTTTTTGTTGCCCAGGCCCAGAATAGAGCCTGGCATCCACACAGAGAACTGGTTGTTCACATATTTGAATTCCACCACTGCTTCAGATGGAACATAATTAGTGGTGGGATTCAAATATGGGAACACAATGGTGGGATTTAAATTCTTGGAATGCTCATATGAAACCTTTCTCCTAAGAAGCATTTTAAAAAGTCCCTGTATAGTATTGATCAAGAGCATCCTATACCTGGAAAGATATTCATACTACCTGAACATTTCACACATTATGAAAAGTAGTTATGCAGTATTTCTGTAATCTTTGCAGATATTAATTAGTTCCTAGTATTGCTCTTAAGCTGCTAAAACATTGTTTAAATACACTTAGGAATTTGATCAATGTTTCTAATGGAGCGCTCCTTGTTTTTAAATAGGACCATGGGAAACAAAATTTAAATTGTGCAAATTTTAGAATCCTTATTACCATATGACAATAGCTCATAATAAACCAGATCATTTTATCCTGTCTTTTGATTCTGACTGACAATAGCTAAGAAGAGTTTATCTCCCAGGATTCTTATTTAATGTTCTTAAAGCAGAGGTCCTAGGAAATGAACCTAAGATCTTACATATTTGAAGCTGGTTTGCTATTTCTGCTGCTATTGCCTACCATATTACTACTGAGATATAATCATCCCAAAGTGTTTTTTTCAAAGGGCAACCGGACTTTGTTTTTCCTTAAGTTAAACCAACAATCCCAAAAGAAATTCCCCTAGTTCTACAGTGTTCAGAAGTTTCTTCCAAGAAAAAAGAGAGTCAGTGTCTTTTAACTCTCTGGTAGAAACTCAACAACTATTTCTTTGATGTAGTAGATAAAATATTTATTGGATTTGTAACACCATGACACACAGAAAATAATTAATGTGGAATTTGAAAAAACCATCAGCATTTCATAAGATAAAGACCAAAGAGAAAAGAAAGCCATGTTATCTCATTATGCCAAAAACTATAGAGCATATGTGAATTATCTAATAATGAAAAAAATTAAAAATGCACTCAACACCAATTTATCTGTAATCAAAGTTTCATGCAAATGTAGCCTTAGTTTTTCACCAGAAAGCAAGTAAGAAGAATTGATGTCCCTATTCATTTGCCTGCAGAGATGTCCTCAAGGTGGCAGCCACAAATAGTGGGTTCCAAGTCCCACCAGTTTTTTATGCATATCATGTGTGCACATAAAAATACAGGTGGACCTTTGATTAGGTTATCATAGATGCTATTGAAACCTTTTTGACTAAACCTGCAAATACTATTTTTTCATGTCTGATTCTGCTACCATAGCAAATGTACTACAGACCACCATAATTTTCATCCAGATATTTTAAGTGCAATTTCTATCTCCTTTTGATTCTTATTTTTTTACAGTTGGTCTCCATAAACAGAAGTGACTGAAATCTAGAGAACATACTGTATATCATATCCCAGATTATAACTCTACTCATATTATCATTAAAAATAAGACTTCTAAAGTCAATGGAACATACTCCCAAGCCCATCATATTAGTATTCCACTGAAATGAAATAGATTTAAATTCAATTAATTTCCTTGGAATGGATATATGGGAATTGTTTTAAAAATAATTCAAAGCACTTTGATTTTGGAAATGTCTATAAGTAATTTTGCTGTGCTGTGCATACACTTCATTCATACGGCATTTGCATCTGAGAAATATCTATTGCAAGAATGGGATCTGAGTAGGATTTAAGCCAACAGTTCAGTATATCTCTGTCATCAAGAATGTGTTCCATCCATTTGGGAAAAGGTTTCTAAAGCTTCCAGCAAAATATTTTGATTTTGTCCTAGGGATGTTGACCTTTCTGTGGATTACTTCTCACATGCCTTCCTAATGCTTGTCTTGAAGCCACTTTTTATGCTGTGGCTCCAGAAATTTGTGCAGCTATTGTTATCCATGTTCATTTAGAGATATATTTGGCTGTGTTCAGCAGCATTCCCAGTTAAAATGAAAAGGATCATATCCCTAGTTTTAATTATTTAAAAGGGCTACACCTGCTTCAAAACTGATTCAAACAAGGGCTTCGGACTTCTTACACAGGCTTGATAGCTCTCTGCTATTTGCTAAAAAAAAGCTTTTCCCCCTGCCCCCCAGCAGGCCTCTAGAACAGGGGTCTCCAACCCCTAGTCCATAGACCGGTACCAGGCCGCGGCATGCCAGCAGCCGGTCTGTACAAACAAGCAAAGCCCCATCTGTGAGATACAGGCAGCACACAAAACCATGCCCCCACCAGTCTGTGGAAAAACCTTTCTCCACGGAACCGGTCCCTGGTGCCCAAAAGGTTGGGGACCTCTGCTCTAGAACAATCTCACTGCTTTAAGGAGAACAACTATAAGCTGCCTTGCTGTCTAGCAGAGAGTCCTGCATTCACATTTGTGCAAGGTTCAAAGGACTTCTCTGATATACTTTTTGAAGCATCCACAGTCCTATAAGTTAGCATAGACGAAGGCAGTCTAGGACCATCCAGATATTTTGACCTATAAGAGGGCAGGTCTCTTGCCATCAGCCATGCTGGTGAGGACCAAGAATCAATGAAATCAAAACTGTTGAGCTACAGTAACATAACCAGCTGCTACCCTATATTTCCACATATAAATAGATATTAACAGCATAGATGCCTGTCTACTCAGAAGTAAAACTGATTGCATTCAATGGGACTTAACTCTAAAGAGCAACCTCAGAAACTTTCAGCCAGAATTATTGTCACATTTACTTCCAGTTTTAATTTCCTTTCCTGTGTACCTCTGATGTTTCCTGTAAGTCTGGCTTTCATAGAGAGGATTTAAACATTTGTTTAATATTCCCACTGAAACAAAAGGAATTTTACTGGATTTTATTCAAAAGAAAAACAATGATGAAGGAATAGTGATAGAACGGTCACATGACAGGATACAAGACTGCACGAAGGTTTATCGTTTAATGAGTTTCCACAATCTGAATCTTAACATGGAAGGAATACGTATTGCCAACAGGCTGCATTACAAACCATCAGTCTATTAAATCTTGATTGCTTGTGGGCAAGTCAGGACCAATAGCAGTTTCACATCTTGTATGAAGCCATAATGTACTAAATGTTTTATTTTTGGCTTTTGTGAAGCTATCTAACTGCTGTGTCAAAACCATGGTTCAATGGTTTAGTAGTGCAATGTATGAACCTCATACTGTTTCCTGTAAGATAAATCAGCAAGACATAAATTCAGCTAGTTTGTTTTCTGAACAATTAGCTGTCATGTTTAGGATATGTTGTAATTATATGACTGGTTTATCTTTAATCATAGTATGGTACTACTATTTTTCAATTGGAAAAATCTATTGGATTTGATGATCTAAGAACATTGGTTCCTATTCTCAAGTTTTTCTGTATGCATGAGTACCGTTATCTTTTCAGACAAGGGAGCCTGCATAAGGCAAAATGATACCCTCAAAATATACATCCAAACCAACCAGGGTAGCAGGTTCCATCTTTTGTTATGAAGCATTCAAGCACCTTTACAGGAATCAGTTTCACATTTGCTGTGAGTCTCTTTCAGCAGCCATTTCCCTCAGCCCTTTAATGGCAGCCTAATGCTAACAAACCAAAAAGGTAAAGTTTGTGATTTTTTCCCACTCTGGAAATAAGAATTGAAAAAAACAAAACAGATAGTTATTGGGGATTTTTACTTCACCTCCAATTTACGTCTCAGCCGTTTGTGTTAAGCAAAGTTCTCTACAGACTTTATTTTTGTACAATATGCATTTTATAAACTTTTTATGAAATAAAGCTTCTTTCTATTGTTATGATGTAATTAACTGTCATTGTTGCACAATTTTAAAAATGGCTTTTGTCTCTGCCTTTTTGGAACAGAATTTCAAAGGCAAGTAAGGCTTTGGGTTGTCTGCCTTGAAAAAAGCCAAGTTGTCAGTTGCAGTTGCACAATTTATGTTCCACCCATTTTCTGTGACATCACTCATACAGAGCTTGGATCACACAGTTGTGAGTGCCATCTTGAGTTTTTTACCTCTCCCTGCAGATGTCCTGGTTCAATACCAGGTCACCTTATTGGGAATCAGATTAGATTAACTGAGGGGATCTGTTGCTCTGGGGGGGTCTCTTAAGTATATGACCAATGTTAGCCTACTGGCACAGCTAAAGTGTACTACTGGCTGATTTCTTAGGCAATATAAGGCAATTCTGCCTCTGTCCAGCAACTGGCCTTGTTTTACATATTTGTGGACATTCAGCTAGTTGAAGCACATGTGAAAGATAAATTTAAAAGCCAATGAAGTCTCCACATCTCTTGATACATGAGGCTGTTGGGATGGCATGCACTCATCAAAACATTTTACCAATCACATGAGATTGACTGACTGTAGAAATACATGTTTTCAGGAGAAGCCTTTCCCTCCTCCTAAATTTGGATTTTCCAAAGGTAAAGATATAAAAAAAATCTTTTTTAAAAAAGTTAAATAAGATCTTACTGAATAATTTTTGCACCAAACTTCCCTGCCCAAATTTAACAAATGGAATGCCTTTCAACATGGAAAGAACCACATTGTACTTATCTGCCCTGGAGCTATTAAAGAGGACACTGTGAAAGGAAACTCCTGGCAATCCTAATTCTAATTGGATGGAATCGGATGGAGATGGGGGAGATTTAACAAGCGTCTTCTGCCTGAATAGAGACTATGCCATTTTTAAGAGTCAAATATTCTAATTTTTATTGTGTGTTTAAAATTCAAATCAAATGTTATTTAAAAAAACTGACAGAATAGCAGGTGGAGTGTCACTGTGAAAACTTCAGCAGTTTGCATCCCAATGTTTTGTCCAAGAACTCAAGTGTTTCTCAACCTCAGCAGCTTTAAGATGTGTGGACTTCAACTCCCAGAATTCCGGGAGTTGAAGTCCACACATCTTAAAGTTGCTGAGGTTGAGAAACACTCACTAATTCACTGATTTTGATCCTATCCAATGCTTTGGGGGTTCATATTCTCTCTCTCGCACACACTCATTAAGTCTCTAGTTCTTTAATGAAAACAGTTGCCTAGTCTGCCAGCACAATGCCCCATCTATTATGCCTACTTTTTGGTCAGTCACCCAACAAGCATTCCTTTTTGGATCTGTCTTTTTTCCCTCCTCACTATCCTTTTTATATCTCTAATTCCTTTCATCTCATTCTTGAGGAAAGCTGCCAACTTTTCCACCTTTCTTCCAAAATTAAAAAAAAACAATTCCCACCTACCTATGAGCTGATTTTTTTTTACTAGAGATTAAAAATATGCCCTTTTGTGGCCACATTTCAGAATAGGTCAGAATAACTCAAAGGGTAAAAGACATTTATATTGCAATGCCACATCTTTTACACATCCTATTCCAGTTACTACAGAGGCTAATTTCATCCATCAACAGAAGCAGCCACATTAAAGCCTGGAGGGAAAGCTTAACTGCAAGAATGCTGGAGGCTGGGATGCAAAAACCTTTCTGTGTAAGCAGTAGCCAGAGATCCACACCATGATAGCACTGAAACATCCTGTTCGAATGATCCACATGCCTCCTGGATTTGTGATATGATATACGGACTTGGTCTGGTTTTTATTTGGCAAGAGTTGTGTTTGTGTGTGTGTGTGTGTGTGTGTGTGTGTGTGTGTGTGTGTGAGAGAGAGAGAGAGAGAGAGAGAGAGAGAGAGAGAGAAGGGCTCTGGAACTGAAAGGCCGCCATGTCCAATGAGGTACATTGACAATTCTTTTCTCGTACACAGAGAAGGGTGGTAATGCCTTCAAACATGTGCTACTTTCTAGAGAGAGCTAAAAGAAGAACTTGGAATATTAGCCTGGGAAGCTTAAGATGCTTTGCTCAGAGAAGTGGGAGCGAGTCATCCAAGATTTTGGCCAGGGAAGGAGGCCATTGACAGCTCTGAAATAAATAGCAACAAGAAAAATAATCGGTCCCAGGTTTCAAAAGCACTAAGGCTGAAGTGGAAGGGCTAGTAGAGTGTCAAGCCCTTGGATATTAGTCTTATGAAATCGACCTTCATCAAGTGCTATTTTGTTCTGTCTGTCAAAAGATGAGGAAGAGGTCAATGCCAAACACATCCGCATTTGTCCTTAGCTAGGAATAACAGCAACCATCCTTCTGTTGCATAAATAAGTCCTGATAAATGATTTCCAAGTATTTGAGATTTGCAGAGTTTTTTTCTATTTTACAGATGACACTCTTTCTTTCTTTCCCTCTCTCCCTCCCTCCTTTCTTTCTTTCTTTCTTTCTTTCTTTCTTTCTTTCTTTCTTTCCTCCTCTTTCTCTTTCTCCTTCTTCTTCTTGTGGTTAAGATAGAATTTAATTACTTGGAATTGGGTTGGTAATAATAGACTTCAGCAGACTTTCATTCTTCTTACACCGCCTCCAAATGCTATTCAAAGGGTCAAAGAGTGGTAGAGGGACAAGTAACATAAGCTCTGGTGTTATATCACCCTAGGGTCAATGTATTTAGTTCCCCTATAGAATAGAATAAACACATAAACATATAGAATTGTGGTTTTTTTTCTTAGCGTAGAAGCTAAACATGATGAGATCTAGTTAATACTTGAATGAGAAGCATCAGAAAAATCTTAGGACTTTGGCTAGAATGGAAAGTCAAAAACACCTCACAACAAAGCCATGAAAAATGACTTCTCTGGTACTCTATCTGGTTGTTTTGAAATAGGCACTGTGAATTGAACAAAGGTGCTAAATACATTTTTAAAAGTAAGCACTCTTTTCATGGCCTTTAGAATGATCAGATTTTATCCAAATGGAATTTAACTTAATAAAGAAAAAAATATCCAAATGGAATTTAACTTAATAAAGAAAAAAATATTTATATATTTTATCCTATAAATCCACCTTCCCAGCATTCAACCCTTCCGTTAAACAATGGAATGGGATGATATATTCTTTTAATGAACATCCTGAATATGCTTTTTCAAGAGGCAACTGGACTTTCTTTGTTTTTTCTTGAAGACATTTTGCTTCTCATCCAAGAGAAGGAAGCTTCTTATTGGATGAGAAGCAAAACATCTTCAAGGAAAAACAAAGAAAGTCCAGTTGTCTCTTGAAAAAACAGCTTTGGAACAACCATGACCTGGATGTCTGAAAATCTCCATAGACATCCTGAATATAATATTCTTAGAATCTTGAATGATTTCTTTTTCCCCAACAGGCTTCTGGTTTTTATTCCATACCATCCAGGGGAATGTCCACCATCTCCTGCTCAATTTTTTAAGGAGATACAGGTGGATGCAAAACGAAGGCAAACATTATTCAAATATTTCATGTTTTAAGAAGAGCCATGGTGGCGTAGTGGTTAGAATGCCATATTGCAGGTTAACTCTGCCCACTGCCAGGAGTTCGATCCTGACTGGCTCAAGGTTGACTCAGCCTTCCATCCTTCTGAGGTCAATAAAATGAGGACCCAGATTGTTGGGGGCAATGTGCTGACTCTTTAAACCATTTAGAGAGGGCTGTAAAGCATTATGAAGTGGTATATAAGTCTAAGCACTATTGCTATTGCTATTTAAAAGCATCTTCTGGTTTGATTTTTTTTAAAAGGATCCAAATAATCACTTCTCATTTGCATTTCTATCTCTTCTACAAATGCCCAACTCCAACATGTAGTTTAATACTGCACATCAAACCTTTATATAATGTACAGTAACACCTGTCTTAAAAGTATAAATAGTTCCACTGGGATATCCCTGGGGCTCAGTCTAAGTTCATTTGCTGCCTGCAATAGCATAAACCACAAGTACAGTTGTGGCATACCTAACACACCACTAATGTGTTGTTTTATAATAAAGGCATTCTCTGGTGATCACTCAATCATATGTTTTATTGCCAGGTCTTTTAAAATGATCAAATGTCATTCCACAGGAAATGGGGAACAGCTTTAATTTATTTTCAATTCCCCCATTCCTTACGTGGTACCTGTGATTTTGTTCCTCTTTCTGCACTCACCATAAGTTTATACTGTAGATGCTTTTCTAAATACTCTTTCTCTCTTTCTTTATAACTGGCAATGAACAACCCAAGTTTCGCACACTTTCTAGAAATTGGCCATCTAATGTAAAAGAAAGACACATGTAAGCCAAAAATGTTTTGAAATGTTTATGGGTGAAATAGCATGTTAAAGGAGAGAAGAATTCTAAAAATTAATACTTGTAAGCACTAATGTTGGTTCTTTCCAGGAAGTTTTAAAATGAACACTGCTCCCAGAAAAACGTTGTGTATAATTTCTCTCTCGAACGTTCATCTATATGCCTACTACAGTTCTACAATTAAATGTCTTAAGCAGTGGATGCCTGCATGAATACAGGTACAACATACAATTGTACTCTGGAAACATTTCAGAAACAAAAACAAGAAGAACCAAAATGAAACAAGAAAAGGGAAGCCTGATTCAGAAACTTTTAAAAAGTCAGAACTTTTTCTATTCGCTGTCAGCCCTTTGAGATAGTCCAGACAGGAAACCGACATCTATACTAATATTACCTTTACTGTAAGGTTACAGTAACAGAATCTTGCAAGTGTGAAGGCACCTCTCCTGTCCCTTGCTTCTATTTTTCAGAGAGCCAAAGAGGATCCCTTCTGCTTTCTCTGACCTCATCCCTCTTTTGGATTTCTTTTATAAGACTGTTGTCTAAGCTGCAATTTAAAGGTAAAATCCACTGATTCGTCCTAGGACAGTGGTGGCGAACCAATGGCACGGGTGCCAGAAGCGGCATTCAGAGCCCTCTCTGTGGGCCCCAGTCCTAGGCCTTCAGCTGG